ACATAAAAAGTTAAAAATCTTACCTACTTTAGGAAATTGTACAAAGTAAAACCTTCCCAAGCTAATCTCCCCTTCTTCCCCCAATCTCCTACTAAAGTGACTAACCCCTGTTAATAATTTAGCATGTGCTCTGGCATTTTTCTTAGTTTAGACTATCAGCCACACACACACACACACACACACACAGGCTCACAGTTTTTGGGTCATACTCATTGATTTGCAACACGTTTTGATTTCTATTTTACATAGTACATCTCATGATATTTCACTTAACGTGTCCTATTTTTCTAGGTCAGTACCTATAGACCTAGCTCCTCTTTTAAAATGAATGCAATACTGTATGGCTGTCCATGATTTGTTCAGCTTTTCCTCTGTTGACATTCTGTTGTTTCCAACTCTGCAATTACAGTGACCAATGCACTTCCATAAGCCTCTCCCTAAAATAGCACTAGCATGGAGTCCATGAAAACCCAGGCCCACTGGCTGTGTAAACCTCCACATTTGGTGTTTGACACATTCTGAGAGGCATGGGGCTACCTGGATAGTTCTTAGATGGGACTTCTGCACCCGAGCAGTGTCTTATCCCAGTAGGTTAGAGTCCTGGGTGTAGAGGATGCTCATTTACTATTAGCTGAGTTTAAACTAGGAACCAGGTAGCCCAGCTGCCCCTCTTGCCCTCAGCAGTTAAGGAGCTTATCAGGTTGGTAGAAGAGCACTGCTTACGATCTTGTGTCTCAGTCTTAGCTTCTATTTGTGCTTGATGTTTTCTGTAAATATCACAAACCCCAATGCTTGGGTCCTGAGTTGGCTCTTTGGTCCATTTTATCCAAAATTGGCAGACAGGTGGCCTTAAAGGGACACAAGTGCCTTCAGTGAAATATGCCCTCTACACAACAGAAGCATTGGACACATCTGCTATTTTCCAGGTTGTGGCTTATTAAAAGGAGCTTGAATAACATTACTTAAAAAAAAAAAAAAAAGGTAGAGACTGGTACACATAATGAAATTTGCTGCAGCCCTGCACCTCTGGAACAAGCTGCGAGCAGCTCCCTAAGGCCCCCGAGCAAAGTCAGCTCTAGGAAATCGGCCTCCTTGGATAAAGGTGGAGGAACCAGACAGCCAATCCTTGACAAATAAGTGGGGCCACAAGAAGGGCAAAGCAGACCCAGAGTGATTTTAGTTTCCACCACTAGTAAACAGAAGGGATGACTGGAGACATCGTAGTTCCACTGTGGGTCGAACAAGTATCTCCAGCAATGGGTTCAATGGAATTATGCCAAAGCCCGGTATGAACTCTCCCCCCACCCCCCGTGTGACTGATGCAGCGTGGTAAGAATATGCTCAAGTTCTCCATTCAAGTTTTACACTCATCCATAAGGTTTGGCCTCGATCGTCTCTATTTAAGGAACAGGATGTGATTCTACATTAGAAAGTATTTTGAACCCCCCCCCCCCAGCCCCTGTGGTAGGAGGCACTTGCAAGAGATAACTGCTACAGCGTTCAAATTATAGGACTTACCAGCCACACAGAGCAAATCTGTCCTTAAGACAGAAAAGTGAAGATGTTGAGGAAAGGCACTTGTTTGATACCAAACCTGTTATCAAAAGAAATTTCCTGCATTCCACAAGTCACAACTTTTGGTCATGAGGCATGAAAATATGTCTAAAAAAAACAAACCTGCTTAGGGCTGGAAAGCAGTTGTAAAGGGTGCAAACGTGATAAACACCCACATGGATGCTGGATACATACAGAGTAGAAGACCAACCAGAGATGGATGGGAGTAGGCATTTCTCAGCTGTGGTAGGCAGAACATCTAAACAGAGTTTGGGCGGGCCCCCAAGGCGGATGAAACACGATCAGCCAGATGGAAAGGTACCCTATGAACACATTGCACGGTAGGGAAAAGAGGGTCCCCGTAGGAGAGATGCCTTCGGGAAGTCACTGGACATAACCCCTGTCTGCAAAGACCCCCGAGGCTTGAGGTGAGTACCGGTCAGCTTGTGCACGTGAGGGCACCGTTTGTGAAGAGGAGACCGCCTCTAACCATCCACAGAGAACGGAAGGAACTGAAGGAACCATGCCTGGAGCTCACTGAGGCCAGCCAGAGCTAGAAAACCTCAGAAATCATAAGGCAATGGGGAGAAGTCCCGGAAAGATTTTGCCTCAGTAGTGGAGAAAACCAACTCTAGACTAAGCACCGCTCTAGTTCTGCCTCATAAAGCTTAAAAACAAGACCCGAAGAAACTATTTGCAAGGAATGAACTGCATCCCAGAACTAAGCTTAAGAATATAGTATTACTAAATATCCACCACCCAACAATGTAAAATTCACAGTATTTGGCATCCAATCAAAAATGACCAGGCAAGCCAAGAAGCTGGGAAATACAACCAATATTGTGGAAGGGAAAAAAAACAATGAATCAGAAACTGACAGGGCAGAGATGATAAAATTAATAGGGAGGATATTATTGTAACTGTAGTCCATTTGTCCAAAATGCTAGAGGACAGATGAACACGTTGATAGAAGATCCAGATTTTCACCTTCTAGAGACAAAACCTAGGAGATAAAGGAATAAAGTGAAAAAATAGTACCAACGCCTGTGTAATAACAGCAGAATTGACTTCACGAAAAATTGACATTAAGCTATGGTTTTCCCCCCCACCACAAAAATAGCTTTCCAGACAAGTGACTGAGAGACACTGCAGACCCGAATCCCAGGAGGCCTCAGCCCCTTCGGATCGCAGATGCAGGCCCAGGGCCCGAAGGCAGCCGCCGCCGGCCCCCTGTCCTGGCCTCAGCCATTTGAGGCTAGCTTTGTCAAGAGGCACGGACAGTCTTTGAACACCTCCACTGGGGAAGAGTCTGGCTCGTGATCCCAGCAAGGGGACCCCGCTGTCATAGCAGGGAAGAGCAAGGCCAGCAGATGTGTTGAGTGTGGGCATGAAAGGAGCGTCACAGCCGGAACTCCTAGCTGCATCCTTGCTTTTCTTGTTTGTTTTTGCATGCCATATAGACAGGCGTGGAAAAGGAAAAAGGATTTTTGGCTTCATAGAGCTCCCTGTCTCATGTGGCTACAGTTTTAAGAATTTAACATTCTATTCATGGTCCACATTCAACTCTCATTCTTCTTCATATGCATCCTGTAAATAGTCAAGTCTGTACTACAGGTGTGCCCCACTTTAAGAAAACAATGGACACATGGCGTACCCCAAGTAATCCATTGAAGAGCCTTATGTTTACAGAAATGAAGAATTGCCATATGATTAAAAATGCTATTTATGAACAGCAAACCCCTGGGTGCACTTAAAATTCAAGTTAAAAAGAAAAATCAAAACAGGCAGCTTTTAGGAAAACATCTATCCTCTAAAACTAGATACATCTACGCCACTTGGTTCTGGTTAGCCTCTTATTAGAGAACAGGGGCTTCATTCCGCAATAGTAGAGGGAGGGGGAGTGAGCACAGGTACAGGTCTCTCAAAGAGCCAGGATCAAGGTCAAATACTTTTAAATCAAGTTCCACTGGAGGGCGCCTGGGTGGCTCAGTCGGTTAAGCGTCTGCCTTCGGCTCAGGTCATGATCCCAGGGTCCTGGGATCCAGCCCCTCATCGGGCTCCCTGCTTGGCGGGAAGCCTGCTTCTCCCTCTCCCACTCCCCCTGCTTGTGTTCCCTCTCTTGCTGTATCTCTCTCTGTTAAATAAATAAATAAAATCTTTAAAAAAAAAAATCAAGTTCCACTGGAGAAGTTCAGGGAACTGAACCAAGAGAAGAGGGGAAATGGGCACCAAGGACACAGACAGAGGTCCTAGCAGCTGTCACCTCTGCTGAACACTGAACAAGTGGCCCCGGGAATGAAGCTGTGCATGAGGGGCCAGGTCCCAAATGGTGGAAGGGGAAGGTGCCCACTGCGGACTGCTTAATATTTGAATAGGGAATGATAGATGATGGAGGAGACTAGGAAATCCCCTCTGCGTGTCACCTCTGGAATGGTCCCACGTGGACGTAACAAAATGGACTAAGGGGCTTTGTCACCCTTCCTTCCTGTTCTTGTGATTGGGTTCTGCAGGGTCAAAGCCCCTTGCTCATCCTTTGTCCCAGCACTGTTTTCCTACACACAGTCGCCAACCTGGGTTTGGTTTGGATTCTCCTAAGAGCTGCAGGTGTTTGGGGGAAGTATCTCTGGCAAGCTGTGCCTCACCTTGGAGGATCATCTCCTACCTACTTCCCATCACATCCCTGTGCAAACCCCATCTGTTCTGTAAGCCTGGCTCATGGACTGCTTCTCCCCGGAGCCTTGAGTTGCTGCGGGCCTCAAGCAGGAATTAATCTCCCCTTCCTCTCCTCTTCTCCATTTCCCTGGGCCAGAGTCTCCTCTCTCCCGGGAGAACTCCACAGGGCAGATTAGATCCCATCCAACATCACATGTCCATGGTACCCAGCATAGCAGGTATTAAAAATACAAATAGGGTCCTAGCCGTGACCTTGCCAATGAGTGTCAGCTCTCTGTACCATTTCAAATAGCAAATTTGGAATGCTTAAATATAGAGCATAGCATTGTAACCATGTGAATATGAAATAGGGTCATGTTCATTTGGCTCAGCAGTGGACTCATTCACGAAAACCTTTTAGTTACCTTAACCAGCAACACCAGTAACATTTACTTTCCGACACAGTAACATTTGTCTCTGACTAGGGTAAGACGATTCTTTTTAGTATCAAGGAGTTAGGGGAGGCGCACGTACCACTTCCTGTTCAGCACATCTATGGCGGCCGCGACAGTCACCAACACCCGTACGCAACTGAATTAGGGACAGCAACAGAGAATTCGATAGCCTGTCCTTTCTTTTTGCCACCTCTTTTCAACTCAGGTCCAATGAACCCTGAATGGTCTCGGGAGGGGGTGGTTATCCAAAGGAGCACAACACTGGCCTTTGAAACATTTAATAAGGAGTCATAATCAAACACAAAATGATTTTATTTTAAAAAGAATAAATTTACATACAGTACATAAGCAAGACAGCTGAAAGCTTCCAAAATAGAAACCCAGAGCATATGGCCCTGAAACAGCACATGCTTTGATTACACCCGGGAAGCATGAGTTGCCTACTTGGGGGCAGAAAAATCCCATGTTACAGTGCAACCTCCAGGCATGTTGTAGAGTGATTTCGGCCACCGCCATTTAAGGGCTTTTAGTTCAGGGTCCCTTCTGTGTTTCCTTCTGCGTATTCTGTAGTGGTGCGGGTCTGAGCAAACCCAGCCTGCAGTGACAGCTGGTTGGAAGGGTGCTGCAGGAGGGCCTGGCCCAGAGTGGGAGGGGGCTGGGGGAGGCACATGAGGAAGAGGGCATGTTCTGCTGGGCTCCCAGAGGCTCCAGTCGTCCTGAGGGCTTTGGGGTCACGGCTTCCAAATGCAGACCCCAGGTCCTAAGCTCATCTTGGATACATCATGGTGAGCTTGACTTTTAAATTCTTGATCTTCAAGTCTCCTGATGGAGAGGGGTTCTGGACCACAGCTGAGGCTACACCAGCAGGGGGCAGTCTCTCTCCAGAGAGAAAATCCAAATGTCTCCAAGGAGCCAGGAGGCCAGCTCTTTGAAGGGACAGGGATGGGGTGTGTGAGACAGCGGGCCTGGGAGGGTGTGAGAAGTGCCTGAGGAGGGGTGGTGAGCGAGAGTAGGAAGCTGGTAGTGACTTTTCCAAGCCGTTTCTGCAGAGCAGTAGAGCTCAAAAACTAAAATGGTCTTCACCAATATACACTTTTTATTTTCCAGTTGCAAAACGAGACACTTCAAAAAAAAGTGACCCCTGTGACAAGCCCTTGGGTCATTCTTTAAGGTGATATGGCTAATCGTCCTCCACCCAATCGTGTAAATACAGCCTTAAAAACATTCATACAGCTGATTGCTGTCCTGTTGTTGGGACTTCAAAGGACAGCATTAAAAATCTCACACACACACACACACACTTGAATGAACTGCCAACACCCACTGCCATGACAGTTATGGCCCCTCCTCTCAAAAGACACAAACGGAAAAACCCGAGCCTTTGCTAATTAGCTTCAGAAAAATCAACTAAAATCATCTTGCATAACTATTATCCAGGGCTGCGGGGACATGCCTCATCCACCACACTGGTGGGGCTGGCCCAGGGCAGGGGTGCCGGTAAGTTGGGGTTCCCCCCTGCCTCCATCCTGCTGCCACAGATACCGGTCAGAGTTTGCTGTAAGAACAGTCAAATAAATGGCAGGTCCTTCTGATTCCTGCCTTCTAACTATGAACAATGTCAGAAGAATTTGAAGGAAAGGCAGAATGGTTTCCTCAACATTGTCCCCAATAGACTGGAGCACTAAGCCGAATAGCAAAGGTCATCCCGACAGAAAGATCAGGGGACATATTTGAAATCAGGACAAACGGGGTTTTCAGTTTTCACACTGGAGGCAGAGGGAAGAGCCTAACCCTGAAGTGTGTGCGTGGAAATGACGTGTTGGGATTCAAGTCACTGGGTTCGGTGGTTCAGGTACCGCACAGCAAAAGATGCTTCTTAACTACGCATTTATGCCAACTTTTCAGAAGATTGTTGATGCGTGTTCCTTATCCTTAAGACCTGAAGATGTGCCCTCAGAGGACGTGTCCCCCTGTCGTGGCCTTCCTATGCCTCACGAGGACACGCGCGGGCTTAAAGGCTGTGTTGTGTTTGGTCAGCTTGTCTTCCCAAGAGAGGCTGACCCTGTTCTTGCATTAATTACCCTTAAAATTGCCAAGAGATAAGGTGGGGGGGGGGCGGAGGGGATGGAAAGGGAGTCCCTGATGCTATTTGGTGGGTGAGAAAATCGGTTTACAGAAAGTAACAGAAATGGAGGAGCAAGGCCCCGGAGGTCGGTTCCCTCCCTGTCAGGCCCCAGGGAGGACTCAGTTCATCTGTTCTGTTGGGCCACTCTTGCGGGCACAGGACAGTACCTCCCCAGTTTGTACAGAAGCATAAAACACCTAAATCTGGGCCGAGGGCTGGTCCCAAGTCACGGTGAAGCAGGAGAGAGCAGGACACACCGGGAAGCCCCGACGAAGAGAGGTGGGACAACTAGTGGGTTTCAGGGATCAGAAGAGTGTGGAAACGTGACCTGGAGTTCTGCAAAATGCACAGACGAGTGGACCCCCCCCGGAGAGTGGGACTGAGGAGGCAAACAGGCTCCTGTCCACGATCTCCCAGGGTCGCCCTCATCCCTTACCGCCCCACGGTGGGGTCCACGGTGCTCTTGCCACCCAAGTGGGCACAGTCTAGTGTGATCATAACAAAAATGTCACCCTGTCCAAGGAAGGCAGTTCTACACGAAGCCACCCTTTCTCCGGACCCAAGTTCCAAGTCTGGACGTGAGGCCCCGTGATGGGCGAGGTCATAACAGAAGAGAGACGCCTGACCTCCAGCCTCTCAGATCATGTCTGTCTCTTCTGGATCTCCCAAGCCAGGCCGCAGTTCCTGCCAGCCCGCGACGAGGTCCAAAGGCCGCGTAACAGGGTGGGGGACCCCTCAAGAACGGACTGTGGGTTTAGCCTGGCTTCCCCCGCAGCCCGACGCTTATGGACTGATGTCCCTATGAGACAGTATTTCCTTCCCCGCAGCAGCAGCACTGACCTCCGCTCTCAGCAGCACAGACACGTGGCTTAAGGATTTTTTTTTTTTTTAAGGAAAATGTATTGTCAAAACCTGCCCACCCCACCCCATTCCTGTTTGGGCTCCCTCGTGCAGGGGGCTGCCCTCCAACTCCTTTGGGGTTCAGAGCAGCCCCAAAAACCTGTGTAGCATTGGCACAAAGGTCGTAGCACAGAGGCCCACGGACGTGTAGGTGACGAACTTATAAGGCACTTCGATCTCTAGTCTCCGCCTGGCCTCCTTGTTCCTGGTGACCACCTTGAACCACGAGTAGAGCACTTGCAGGGAGAGGTTTTGCACCAGCTGGCGCACTAGAAGGATCAACACGATGCCCACGGTGAATTTGGTCAGCCCCAAGACCAACATGCCGGCGGTGAGCGGCGGGATGTCCCGGACGACAGGGAGAGGCTCGGTGGGCGCGGACGCGAGCTGGAAGAAGTGATTGACCCAGAACCCGAGGGTCACCCCCGCCCCCGCGGCCAGGATGGTGGTCGTGTCGGCCCTGGTTGGACTGTAGCAGTCAGACACGGGGTAGTGGTAACACAGGAGGAAGGGCACCACGATGACGCACACGGGGAAGAGGGGGCTGGCCGAGTCCAGGCGGTCGATAAGGGTCCAGGCCGGGTAGGTGAGGACGATGAGGACCGCAGTGACCAGGATGCCACCCAGTACGTCCTGCGGGAAGGAGAAAAAAGAAGGATGTAAGCCGGTGAGCGCCTCCCCGGGGAAGGGGCAGAGCTGTGAGTCAAGTACGGCCGGTTTGACATTGAAAGTACAATTTTGGCATCGCTCTATCTGGCATTGCTTTGAAAGGTGTAAAGCTGCAAAGAGATTTGAGAGTAGGAAAAACAGCCGTGCTATTCACGTTGTGTAATTTTCTTTTCTTTTTTTTTTTTTATTTGCGAGAGAGAGAATGAG